CTCCAACTTATTTCAGTAAAATAGGACATCAGAGAAAGCTGGGACTAAAAAGTGCCCAGATAAGTCATACAGAGGTTAGAACTGCTGTGCAGTATATGTATTCCTAGGGTAAGAAATTCCAAGGGTTCAAACAGAAGACTTCCCAAAGTGGCTCACCATAGTGTTTGATTAGCAGAAATATGAAGAAGTACTCTTCATAATAAACCCAGAGGTATTTCCTCCCCATTACCATCTCAGGCTTTTTACAATAAACTGAAGAATTCAGAAATAAAATAGTTTTTTATGTTGATTCTTCCACTCCTTCCCACAAACTATAATACTAAGCTTAAACAGATATAAAAAGTTAACAGAATTAAAAAAATAACAGAATCATAGAATTTTACAGGTAGGAACTCTGCCTCTTTGTACTACTTAAAACCCTGACAAGATGCCTGGTGCCTTTCCCAAAGATCACATAACTTCTTCTTAAGAGCAGAACCAGGGCTGGGGATGTGGCTCAAGCGGTAGCGCGCTTGCCTGGCATGTGTGCGGCCCGGGTTCGATCCTCAGCACCATATACAAACAAAGATGTTGTGTCTGCTGAAAAACTAAGAAATAAATATTCTCTCTCTCTCTCTTTAAAAAAAAAAAAAAGATTCTCTCTTCTAAAAAAAAAAAAAAAAAAGAAAGAAAAAAGAGCAGAACCAAATGCAACTTACTCAAGTTCCTCAAAGTGTCGGAGGTATAACCTGCTCCAGAATCACATATAGTACTTAATAAAAGTGTAGATGGTATGCATGTCTGTATTCCAGCAACTCAGAAGGCTGAGGCAGAAGGATAGCAAGTTCAAGACCAGCCTCAGCAACTTAGCAAGTCCCTAAGCAACTTAGTGAGACCCTGTTTCAAAATGAAAAATAAAGAGTTGGGCATTTGGCTCACTACTTAAGTGGACCCAGGTTCAAACCTTGGTGCCAAAAAAAAAAAAAAATTTTTTTTTGATAGTGTATGCCTATAATCCTGGCCACTTGATACTTTGAGGAAGGAAGATCATAAGAATCATTCTGCATCAGAATCACCTAGAGGACTTGTTAGCAAGATCCTGGGTAACTTAGCAAGTGGTTCTCAAATTCAAAGTAAAATTCAAAAAGGATAGAGATGTCAGCATGTGTAAGGCTTGTTTTCACCCCACCCCCACCCCACTAAAGAAAAAAAAGAACAGTGCTGATGCAAAGTCAATCCAACTGAATCAGAATCACCGAAGAATTTTTCAAATCAGCATTTTAATAAGCTCTCCAGGTGAGTCTTGTTCATCCAAAGTTATTTATTGATTGTACATTCTASAATATTCTTTTAGAAAAAGAGACAGGAACTAACATTTTTATTTTAGCTATGTTAAGATAAAATATGTCACAGAGTCACCTGGAAAACTACTTTAAAATGAGTAGTCAAGAAAAAAATCCTTTCTAAGGCTAGGGATATAGCTTAGGTGGTAGAGTGCTTGCCTTGCATGCACAGGCCCTGGGTTTGATCCTCACCCCACCCCACCACCAGGCAAAAGAAAGCCTTTCTAAGGACACATTTGATGTGAGAAGATCTTCGTTCAAGAACAGTGGTTCTCAAATTCAAGCGTGCATCAGAATCACCTACAGGACTTGTTAAAACAGACTGCCAGTCAGAAGGTCTGGCATGAGGCCCAAGAATTTGCATTCATAACAGATGCTGCTGCTGCTGATGAAGATGATGATGGTCTAGACACCACACTTTGAGAACTATTAACCTAGAGAGACAGTAAAACCGTGAGAATAAGTTTATCAAAAGATTTAGAAAAAAAAGATCAGTTAGGAGAGAAAGAGTAGTATACTTGTGATTGTTTGAGAACCWCTTAGGAAAGATGGTGATTTGAACTACCAGCTATGGCTCTCCAGAATAGAAAAGATGAAATCACATGTTGTTTAATAATACCTTGCATTTTTAAAGCATTTCAGTTATAAGGCAATTTCAGATTCAAAATTCAACTTAGTGAATGTTAAAGAATGACATTATAAAGAAACTATAACAGAAAAAGCATAAACTACCTCTAATCAAGTGGCAAAAATATATTCCCTACCTCTAAATTCAGTGTCCATATTAGCATTGCCTGTTCTCATTTTTCAGGAGCAAAAGGTACATGAGTTACTACCAAAAAGGTATTTTTTTATATGCTCTACCTAAAAACAAGGTAGATTCCCACATTCAATTTGTTTTAGATGTTGTTTAGAAAGCAATTACTTAAGATTTCTTGACAGTATCAACTTGCTTCCACTTACTTATTCTAGTTCAAAAACAAATGATAGAGAATTGAAGAGGGAATTTACAGATTATTCTTCCCTCTCCTGCATAAATTTCAGAGCCAACTCTATAGCCTCAGTCCCTAAATCACAAACATAATTTGCATGTTGGGTTCCCTCTAAATCTCTCACCTAATCCAGGTTTTCACAAGAACATTGAATCCCATGTGTCTTATCATGCTCATGGGGCCATAAGCAGCTATCCTCGATACATCTTCTCCATCCACTAAAACCTTATTTTTTTTTTAAATATGTTTTTAGTTGTAGATGGACACAATATATTTATTCATTTTTATGTGGTGCTGAGGACTGAACCCACTGCCTCACGCGTGCAAGGCAGGCACTCTAACACTGACCTACAGCCCAGCCCTGTTATTCTTATTAACATTCTTATTAACATTCTTCCCTGCATGTCCCAATAGTTCAAAACCATATCTGACAGAACTCATCATTATATCCTCCCTCCACCACACACACCTGCTTTTGTGCCTGTTTTTTGTTTGTTTTGGGTTTTTTGGTTTTCTTTTTTTAAGAGTGCTGAGGATTGAACCCAGGGCCTCACACATGCTAGGCAAGCACTCTACCACTGTACATCTCAAGCACCCTACATCTTCCAGTCCTATGCCTGAATTCTTTATTTACATTAACAGAGCTACCACCCACCAAACAAGAAACCTGAAATTCATCCAACATGTGTCCCCTTCACATCAATCTCAATGCCCACCTCCACTTAGTCAGTTATCAGTAATAAACTAGTTGCCATTTCATTAGTAACTACCATGTACTTAGTCACTATACATTTTTTTTACTTCATTCTCAATATCTCTATTAAGTATGTATAGTTTTGTCCCTATTTCACAAATGAGAAAACTGAGGCTAAGAATAATTAATCTATCCACACAGTAAGTAAAAAGTGGCAAAGGAGACATGCAAACTCAGTGTTTCAAAAAGTGCCTACCATTCCCCCATACAAAAATGCTACCTTGKGTAACACCTCATTTTCAGTCCTAAACTACCCATTCAAATGATAATTTCTCACCTAGATTACTTCTGAGATTCTAACTGGTCTCCCTGCTTCCAGCCTCACCTGCCTTCATTTCTCAAGTGCTTCAAGTGATCTTTCTGAATCATAAATCTGATCCTTTTAAACTATTGATTATAAAAGCCTTCAGGAAGGCCCTCTATTAAACAGAATACTCTACAGGATAAATTCCAACCCTTTAGAACAGGTCCATAATCAAAATTTAAAAGTTCTGAAATTTTAGCCAGGCGTGAYAGTGCACACCCCACCAGCTCAGGAGGCTAAGGCAGGAAGATGGCAAGTTCTAAGCCAGCCTCAGCAACTTAGCTGGGGATGTGGCTCAGTTGTTAAGAATCAGTAGGTTCAATCCTCCATACCAAAATAAAGTTTTGAAATTTTAGTTTTTTCATAAGCTTGCAACAAAACCAACCTGAATCTCTGGAGGCTACTGTCTATCTCAACAACATGATATTCAACATGATATTTTAATGCAGAAATGTAAACAAGTTGATAGTAAAAAGTTAAAAACAGATCCCACTAGCATACTACATAAGAGATCTTACTAGAAAAAGGTAAATTCCAAAATACTATATTCTGAAGTCCAAAACACACCTAGACCTAAGAGTACAGAAAAGGGACTGTGGAACCCTCATCTATTCCACCCATTAATCCAATCTAACTTCCTCCAATCACACTACACATCCTTTAATTCTAGAAATATAAAAAGGGACTCTGTTGCCCTGAATATCCTCCTACCCGGTGATGTAGTCACCCTTCAAGAAGCCATCTCAAGGATTTCCTTTATTGCAAAGTTTGCACTGTGTCACCAACCATGGTACCGAATACCAGCCTCCACTATTGCACGATATATATTCGTTTTCTCTCTAGAGTGTGAATGACATTTTCGTTGGGTATTTTATTCATTCCTAGCATAATGCCCTAACTACAAGCTCATTAACGTACAATAAATGAAGCAAATGCATGCCCAACACTCCTAACTCCTATGTCCCTTCCAAGTTCATTTCTCCTTCATCCTCAAATCTTAGGATTTTCCCTAATCACGAAGGCCCTTCACAGCTATTACCACTTCCCCAGATTCTCCTTCCCAATGTCATCTTAAAATTATTTTCTAACACGAGCCTTCTTTTGGCCCCAAGCTTCCAAATGTCTTTCACCTACCTCCATTTAAGCTGTAGTTCTTTCTCCTAAGCAAGAACAGGTCCATTTCCCTCCCTGAAGAGCAATCCATCCTCACTGCCGTTATCTCCTACCCACTCTTTCAACAACCCTTCTCCAGGTACGGGCCTTTCCCCAAAAAACCCTACTCACAACGGGTCTCACAAACCCCTCTTTTCTACCGGTCAGGGTCCACACGCTGCAGAACCTGGCTCAACTAGTATCCGCACCTCAAACCTCCCTCGCAGCCAGAGTCCCTTCCCCCAGTGTCTCGCAACCGGCACCCCTCCCTTCACTCTCCCCATATCTCTGGCGGTCCAGCCGCTCTGGAACTGTCCCAGGGGCCATGTCTTTAGCGTCTTAGACTCCCCCTACCCCACCCCCGCCACAGGACCGCGCCGGTCCGCGCAGCCTCGGTCCCTAGCACCTGGTTCCCAGATCCTCCTGGGCTCTACAAATCCCCTGCGGCCCGACGTAGGRCAGGGCCTCCGACTCACCTTGCTGGATGTCGCCGTTGCTGCCCCCCGGAATGGGCACGCTGAGCTGGCGCTCGGGCTCCGGCAGGCAGCGCAGGCAGAAGGAGTGAAGACAGGGCAGCAGCTTGGGCTCCGCCTCACGCCGGCTCTGCAAGCTCTGCTGACACACAGCGCAGGTGTCCAGGAGCGAGGCTGGCGGCCCAAGCGGCGGCCCCGACGAGGGACCCGGAGCGGGAGCCGACGCTGGAGCTGGGGCCGGCGTCGATACGGCTCCCCCGGGCACTCCAGGGCCCACTGAGGCCGCTGGGGCAGAGGCAGCAGGGGCCGATCCGGAGGAGGCCGCGGCCACCCCCCCGTCGTCGGGCCCGGCCGCGCCGCCCTCCGCGCCAGCCCTGCTGCCTTCCTCCTCCTCCTCCTCCACCAGCACCGCGGCGAGAGGCGGCTCCGCCTCCTGCGCCGCGGGCCCGGCATTCCCGGCAGTTACCGGCGCGCTGCCGTTGCCCCCGCCGCCGCTCTCAGCCTCGCCGCCGCCTTTGTTTTCCGCCATGTTTTCCTCTTTGAACCCGCCGGACCGCCCCGCGCCGCCCGCCGCCCGCGTCGCCGCCGCCGCCCCCAGCCCCAGCCGCAGCCGCAGCGAGAGCGGCCGCCGAGAGCGAGCAAGCGAGCGAACCCACGAGAGCGTGCGCGCACGGGGTGCCCCCGCCCTCGCGTCGCGCGGTTAAGGGAGAGAGGACACGGCGCGCGCACGTACGCACGGACGTCCTCCGGAGGGAGGCGGGAATTCGGTGCGCGGGCGCGGGGCCGTCCTCGACTCCTCTCCGGCCTTCTGGGGCCGGTACGTTGCGTCAGCGCGACGGCCTTTTAGCTCCGAAGGAGCTTTTAAAGCTAGAGGCCACTGGCACTGGATGGCCTTTGCCTGGAGGTGGTTATGAGCTCGGACGCAGGGGTGGTGCGATGGGGAGAAGGGTGGAAGGGTCGGAGTCTGGGCCGGATTCCTTCCCGAACGAATGTCTCCCAGGCGGCACCATCCCTCGCGACGGGMGCGTCTCCGGGGAAGCTTCACCTGCGGCTCAGTCGGACGCTGAGTCCTCTTGGCTCCGCTGTGGCCACCTCCTGGGTCTCTGCGGTGCTTTGACGCCTGTTCAATTGAGAGGTTGTGACCCAGGGGAGCGGTAAAGCGGGCTTTTTTTTTTATATATGGATAGATAGTGGTCACCAGAATAGCCTGAAAAGACCCACTAAGGAAGCAACTCCTTAGGCTCTTTAGGGCTTCTTAAGGTGCATCTCAAACGTTGCTACGAAGCAGTCAACTGAGGAGCTTTTTAAAGCCGAGATGCCACGGCCACACCCCAGACCTGAATCAGGAAGTGGGAGAGAGAGCTGATGGATGCTGAAAAGTCACTTAAGCAGATTTTGATGTGTGACAGTGTGGGGTGTCACCGCTCTACCCAATATCATTACGTCCTGGGAGTCCCTCTTCGAGTCCCGGGATTAGTAGGGTGGCAGCGCCCTAAGAGTTGTCTTTATCTGGAAAAAGTATTGGGGGGTTTGAGGGCTGGGGTTGTGGCTCAGTAGTAGAGCGCTTGGAGGCACTGGATCCGACCCTCAGCACCTCATAAAAAATAAAATAAATAAATAAATAAATAAAGGTATTGAGTCTGAAGGGAAAGTGAGGAATGAGAGCCCAAGACCAAGCAGAGATACACACCAGAGTGTATTTGTGAAACCTGACAAATAAAGGCCATCTCTCCATAAGAGAGAGAGGCAAAACAGGCTTGAGCTCTGGGACTATGGGGAAGGCTCAAGAATGTATGGGTTGGGTTGGTATGAGGGAGAGACCTTGGGCGGGAGAGTGAAACTTTTTCCTTAAAATGGCGGGCTGTCACTTAAGATGGCCATCCAGATGCTAAGCAAGGACCTTATAGTGTCCATCTACAAATTCTTTAAAGAAAATTTTTTTAAGTATTTAGATGGGTTTATGTATTATAATGGCTGCTTTAGTATTAGGCTCATAAATTCTTAGTTTTTTGACAATATTCCCAAGAAACTTACCTGTATACTGATGTAAGTCTTTAAAATAAACCACATAAATGGTGACCCATGCCTGAAATACTGAGTCTGTAATCCTCAGACTCAGGAGGCTGAGGCAGGAAGATTGAAAGTTGAGAGACCAGCCTTAGCAATTTAGGGAACCCTAAGCAGCTTAAGGAGACCCTGTCTTAAAATAAAAAAATAAAACCGAGGGGCTGGAGCTATAGCTCAGTGGCAGAGCACTTGCCTAGCATGTGTGAGGCACTGGGTTCGATACTCAGCACCACATAAAAAAAAAAAAATAAAGGCATGATGTCCATCTACAACTATTAAAAAATAAATTAAACAATAAAAATACGGAGGCTGTGGCTCAGTGATTAAAGGACTCTGGAGTACCAAAAAATAAACCATATGAAACTGTCCGTGGTGGCATGGGTCTGTAATCCTAGCTACTCTGGAGGTAGAAGTAGATGGATAAGTTAAAGGCCAGCCTGCCCTATGGCTAAAAAAAGAACATTTTTTTACTCATTCAAAAACAAGTGTTGGGCTGGGGATGTGTCTCAAGTGGTAGCTCGCTTGCCTGGCATGTGTGCCTCCTGGGTTCCATCCTCAGCACCACATACAAACAAAGATGTTGTGTCCGCTGAAAACTAAAAAATAAAGAAAATTCTCTCTCAAAAAAAAAAAAGAAAAGAAAAACAAGTGTTAACCTTGTTTTGTGTCAGATTTAGCTGAGATTACACAGCAAGAACAAAACAAAGGAGCTCCCTGAAAAAATAAGAGTGAAAGGGATAGATGATTGAGGAATGTCTCTGTTGATTAGGTGAAGGACTCTGTGTGTTCCAAGTGTAAAGGCCTGAGGCAAACAGTGATTCTTAGCTTGTTAGAGGAACAAGCTAGGAGTCATTGTGGCTGGAATGCCTTGAGCAAGGTTTAGGGTAGAAAGGTGTAAGATAAGAGAATTATTAAGGAGACCAGGCCAAATACAGAAGTGGTCTTTAATTTTTATAAAATTTTATGTCCATTAAAGAATTTTTGGAAAAAACATTTTCTCTCCTCAAACATGTTCAGTTGACTCTACAGTTTTTCATAAGTTTAAACTAGTTGCAGTGTAATTTCTGACATTTTGTAATACTGACATTTTTAAATTAAATCTAATGGAAAAATGGACACTAAATGAGTTTAATACCCTCATCCATTTTTTTTTTCATTAGTAGCTATTGAACCCAAGGCCTCCCACTGACTAGGCAAGCACTCTACCATGGAAAAGAAAGCGAGGAACCAGGAGACAGGGGAGCAAGAAATAAAAGAGACCAGGCAGATGGGGCAGGCTCTGGGATTAGAGCCAGGCGGATCCTAATGCAGGTGGTTAAGGATGGGGTGGTATGAGGGAGTGGTGAGCCTTTCTCAGAAAGGCCCATGGGTAGGAAAGTGAAACTTTCTCTTGAGATGGCCATCCAGATGCTAAGCATGGACCTTACATTCTCCCCTTTTTGTTGTTATTGGGCTCCTTAAGGGACAGGGGTGTAGATCAATCTTCTATAGCTTCTTTCTCCCTGGAAGGGATGGCATCTGGACCCTTGTTAGGGGCAATGGTGATGGTCAGGAGGTGCTGGGCAATGCTGACTCTGGATGGCCCAATTTTGGTGAGGGGTTAAAAGTCCTGTATAAGAAGCTGGTTTTCAGTTTGGCTAGAGATTCTTTGAATCTGGTCTTGAATAAATCTAATGACACAGGGGGCAAGCATTAGCAAAAGGCCTATGACAAGGAGAGAGGTCAGGAAAGGAAATGCCCACTGGAGAAGGGGGTTACTTAGCTGCCATCCTTCAGTTCCAATGGCAGTGGGAAGCATTGAGGCCTGAAGGAGACTGGAGATAAAAGGGGCATTAGTAATTGAGTTCTCTTGGTGGTGAGGAATCCACGCTCCTTCCAAATAGCAGAGTGGGAGAGAAGTATGTGGAAAGAGTATTTAGAGTCAGTGTAGACATTGAGGGAGCCTCCCTTTGCCAAAGTGAAGGCTCTAATGAGGGTAATGAGTTCAGCTTGCTGATTAGATGTATTATTGGGGAGAGGAGCGCTTCCACAACAGAGGTTAGAGAGACTATAGCTTGCACTGCCCGATGAACTCCCTCCTGAAGGAAGGAGGCGCTATCTGTGAACCATGTGTATGTTGCCTTCCCATTACCCCCTTCCAAGGGGGCTTCCTGTATGTGGGAGGGATATGGGAGAAACTTCTCCAAAGTTTCAATGCATGAATGGGGAAGAGGAGAAGAGGTGGAAGAGTCCTGAGGAGCTGGGAGGAGAGTAGCAGGATTTAAAGGTGAGCACATATGGAAAGTAAGACTGGGGGGGCTGGGGATGTGGCTCAAGCGGTAGCGCGCTCGCCTGGCATGCGTGCGGCCCGGGTTCGATCCTCAGCACCACATACCAACAAAGATGTTGTGTCCGCCGAGAACTAAAAAATAAATATTAAAAAAAAAAATTCTCTCTCTCTCACTCTCTCTTTAAAAAAAAAAAAAAAAAGTAAGAGTGGGATCTTCCACCAGGAAAATGTGTAGAGATAAAAGTGGATGGTGGGGGCAGAAGACGGGGTAAGGAATGTAAGCCCTTATAAAATGGAGGGGGYTTTTGAGATGAATGTGAATGGGCTCATGGTATAAGGCCCTTCTGGGGAGAAGGAAAGTGTAGCCCCCAACTTTGTGAGAATGTCCCTTCCCATAAGGGGAATAGGGCACTGTGGAATGACCAAAAAGGAGTGGGTGAAAACTGGAGAGCCAAAGGCACAAACAAGGCTAGATATTTGCAAGGGCTGGTAAGGTTTGCCCTCTACCCCAACAATAGAGGTCATAGAATGAGTGGTAGGCCTCCTTGAGGACTGAATATGTAGCCCCAGTACCTAGGAGGAAGAGACAGCCTACCTGAAATACACAGAGTTACCCTGGATTCCCACAGAGTGATGGTAGTAGTCAGGTGAGAGGGACCTTGTCAGTCCTCTGCAGCCAGTCCTAAGTGTTGGAAAGGGGAATCAGAAGGGCTGGATAGCCCGGGGCTGGTGTGGGTTCAGGGACATTCAGCAGCACAGTGTCCCTTCTGATGGCATTTAGGACAAGGGCCCAGAGACTTGCAAGGCTTAGGACATGTATGAGACCAGTGAACAATCTGACCACATTTAAAACAGGGTCCTAGTGGTCCTGAGGGACCCTTCCATGGGCCAGTGGAACCAGGGATAGATGCTGAAGCCGGATGGATGGCTTGAGCAGATTACCTTCTAGTCTCTCCGGTTAAAGGCAACTCCCAGAACCTCAGCTTGGAGAGTTAGGGGCCCCTCTCAGGGCACCTTAGTTTGGCCTTAATATTGGGGAAACTCTGGGAGAAAAAGTAGGTCATTAGTAGTTGTCTCCCATCTGGAGTCTCAGGGTCCAGATCAGTATATTGTAATAAAACCTTGGTCAGGTGATCTAAAAATGCTGAGCATTTTCATTTTTATCTTGGATGAYTTCCTGGAGCTTCTCATAATTGATAGTCTTATGAGGTACCTTTCTAAGTCCTGAAGTAATGAATTGGTTTCTACTAGTTACTCCTCCAGGCTAA